ATTGTTCTCGCGCATCGCAAAATTTTTGAAATGTCAGGAACCGGAACGAATAGGGAAAACTCGCGAAGTTACCAGACGTTTAAACAGCCGAAATCCCGGCCTTGGCATTGCGCTGCTTTACAGATACAGCGGTGTATTGCACTCGGAGGGGTTGGGATGGGGATGATGTTTCATGCAGAAACTGCAGCATTCTAGAAGAACTTATGCAGACATGCTTTTATGCCCGTACTGTTTTCATTTTATTACTTACCGATATCGAGCGCTTCGAATTCCAGTATCTGCAGTATTTTAATAGCCTTCGAAAAACTACTTTAAATCTGACCTTTACTTCAAGTCTCTAGTATATGAGGTAATACCGATTTGGGTTGGTATGTCTTATAAACGTCCGCAAATTAATATCTTCTCGGGGGCTGTTTGGGGGCAGCTTACCCTCTCTCCTAGACTACGAGTAGTCCCCCCATTTTTCCTCAGGGATAGTAGAGCGAGCGGAACACGAGCGCGCGTGAAAATCACCCCTATCGTTTCTGTAACCTACGAAAATGAAAGGATTTCAGTAAAAAACAGTTTACCTTAGTTAAAATGTGTATTACGTCTCTCCTGTGTGGTCCACAGGCCGATTTATGGCCGTTTTATGGATTTTTATGCAAACGGTGGGGATTCGATGGGGATGGCGCAAAGAGCAGACAAAACATGTGGGTGGGGTAGAGGGTGAGAGCGAAGGAAGAACTCTACGATTGACTCGCTAAACTTCGCTTAAACATATCGGATAAAATTGCCGAAGAAAATAAATCAGGTCTAATAAATAAAATAAATCTTTTGAGTACACAACTTAATATTCGTAAACAGTCAGTTACTTTAAAAACCCTTCTACTTTCCTATCCGAAGCTGAGATGAATTTGTCAAAACATTTGAAAAACCATCAGCTAAATTTGATAAGAACAAATAAAAAACTAAAATTCTACTCCATCTTAGACTACGAGTAGTCCCCCATTTTTTCTCACAGATAGTAGAGCAAGCGAAACGCGAGCGCGCTCTCTCCCAGCCGCGTGTCGCCTTTTCTCGCGTGGGATGATTTTCAAGCGCGCTCGCGTTTCGCTCGCTCTACTATCCCTGAGGGAAAATGGGGGACTACTCGTAGTCTAACTCCATCTTTAAAAATGAAACAAATCACTCTGAATTCATCAATCATATCCGGAATCCTGAACATAGGCGTGTAGCTTCCAAATTTAGGATAGGAAATCATAATTTAAAAATAGAAACTGGAAGATTTACAATCCCCAAAACTCCTGAAGACCTTAGAATCTGTGATCATTGCAACCAAAATTCGGTTGAAAATGAACTGCACATATTATTTCACTGTGATCAATACAATGATTTGAGAAAGACTCTTTTTATTAAAATCAACGACCGAAATACATTATTTACAAATTACAATATCCATGATAAAGTCTGTTTTCTTTTTAACAATACTGATTCACATATCAGCAGGCTAGCTGCAAATTTCATCTTTCAAGCATTTGAAAGACAAAAGAAACATAGTTAATTCTACCGTTCCATCATATCTGCATTTCCTTAAACTTAGCTGTTTATTATTGTTATTTTAATCGGTAACACCTGTACAAAATGGTAATACTGAATAAACTTGTTGTTGTTGTTGTTGTTGTTGACTCAAAGAAAATATCACGGGGGTGGGGTGGGGGGCGGGGGGGTTACAACCAAATACTTAGAAGAAGGAAATTCTGTCTGCTTTATGACTGAACACAGAAAACCCTTCGATTCAGAGAGATAGCGGATTAGGTTATCAGTGAAGAAGACACTTGAGGCTTCTAAGCGCACTTGATTTACGTCAAACGTAACGTCAGTATTTAATTCCTTCCTGAACCAGGATGGGTGTTGCATACATGCCTTTTAATATTTTGTACTTGGAAGATAATCGATGAATTGTTTGACTTTCCGGAAGCTGACTACGGTTGTCGAAAAGACTGGAAGTCGTCCATTTGAGTTTGGAAGAATTATTACATTCACAAGAAAAGCTAGACAAAATGCCTGGCTTCTAGTTATTTTGCGATTAGCATTTTTTTGTTGGCACACGTATCGTGTCATCAACCGGTGTGTACAAGTGGAAGGTCAAATCATTGAATGAACAGTGATTCTTTGGTTTTACAAGGTTATCAACCAATAACAACGTGTTTTGTATGAAGGAAATACGTGCCTATCTTCTGTCACGCAATCATCCAATCAGAGATCGCGTTAGAACGGAATCGACTGATACGGTGAATGTTGTCTCGAGAGTTTGCATAAAGCAGATTTATTTTAAAAGATTTTTTTAGCTGTTTTATAGGATGGCAGATCTGAATATCGTGCCCGGTGCTTAACTAATCGCACCCAAGATATACCCTGGTAAAACTTAGCTCTGAATCCTGTCTTTTATGCGCTGTTTCTCAAGAAACGTGCGTAAACCATTGCTGTGTTTAATGGACGGCGCGAGTCGGTCAACGCACCTTCGAGGGAATTACTAATGTACTTCGATTAATTGGTTTTAAACCGGCTGGATTTGCATCTTTGTGCTTGTCATATGCAGAGGACCTTGTTTTACGCCTGAGAGCGCTTTTTGGATAATTTGTATCGTGATATCGAGTCTGTTGTGTTGGTCGAGTACCAAACAATGAACAAACAATCTCTGGAGTTAATGGAGCAAAGCTGCCTTTGAGGCTAGCGGGCTTTGTCTGTTTATGAAAACAGCTCGCATCTCAACTCTGTTGCACTACCTAACAATTGCATTGGATCATTAGGTGTTTCCTCAAACTCCTGAGTAAGTTTTCTTGCATGAAAAGGGTGTTTACAAACTATAGCGTGGAAAAAGACTTCACAAACCAGCTTTCTTCAGCTGAAGTCTATTTGGAAAACATAAGGTAAGCTGAGTTCGTCTCTGTTGAAATGCTCTGCTGTGTACGTTAAAATGCTGGACATCAAGGTAGTCATTTATTTTCTTTGTAGTCTCTGAATTTGCTGTAAGGCGCTCTTTTTCCAATTTGAAAATGTGCATGTTCGGTGATGATTTTTCGAAGGTTTGGGCCTGCTCATCTGTTCGCGCGCTGGACCTTTATTTCAGTCCATGCAAGTTTGTCGAAAAATTATTCTAGAATTTTCACTTGGTTATCAGAAGTACACCACAATAATTGATCTAAGTTTTTGTTTAGTTGACATTGTTATGTCTTCAAAAGCTTGTATTCGAGGTCTATTACACCGTGTGAAATACGTCTTCCGGAAACACTTCCATCTTTACAGTTGGGGAATACAAATTCGCTTCAATTTGTTGGTAAAAGAAGAAATATATTTTTATAAGAGATAAGCAAGTTACCCACTGAACTGGAATTCTTTCCATTACTCGAAAGATTAAATGCTTAAAGAATGGATGATTATTATTTTATGGGAAGGTCGAATTTTCATTTTGTTATATTTTACTGACTACAAGAAAGGAATTTCTTTTCTCGAGACTAAAAACATCTCGATAACAAATGGACCGGTACTGAAGGAATTTTTTTATTTGCAGTTTCATTTACTAGCCAAACGGCATGTCGAGTTTTATGGTTTACCTTTGTAAGGGCTCTCTGTTCTGCTACAAAGATCTTGTGCTTTGCACACAGTTTGCTAACAGTCGGCAATCCTTTTGAAAACGACAACTTTCCTTTGTTCTCATGGATTTTGTTGTTTTCAAAGGTGTGTTGATCTTATTTGATGTTCCGTCGGGGGTCTACAACTTACCATTTTGCAAGTCAACCTATTGCTATTTTATGCAGAAAATGCCTAATTGTTGCTTTCAAGTATTCAAAGCCTTTTTAGTTCGATTTCATTTTTCCTGCAATCGCTTTTTTTTTAATTTTGCAGTTGTCGTCAGATTGTGGGAAGCATTTGTTTATCTATTTGATTTTATGAGTTGACCTGTATTGATATTTTTGAAATTTTGACATAACCTTAACTCGGATGTTATAGTGCTCCGGATTTATATTACTGAAGGTACTCAAAATTGCCGCTTGATCCTTTTTGAAGTTTTACTCAATGAAACAGACATTAAATTAAACGGTTCCAATCAATGAAACTCTTTAATGCCTGGGCGATTTGGCAAGTCAAATCTTGGAAACCATACAGCAAAAATTGTAAATGTTTAATGAACTGAAAAACCAAATGTAAATTACGTCGTTTTCGTTATGTTCCAGCGGTTAATTATAACAAAAGCCGGTGAAGAATAAAATATTATGCACTTATGTATCGATCTTGACTAGAATGAAGCTAACAAAAAATTACTTTGGGTGGTTAATTTGAGAAGCTTACACTGGTGTATATCAGAATGAAACGATTGAAGACAGTTTAGACAATGTTTATAACTTTACACTTCAACAGTTTAGTCTGATCTTGCACAGCACTTATGTACAGATTATTTTCATGTACAGCTGTCATTGTCATAGCATTTTGATCACTTGCTATTTTGTATTTTTAAATGGGCATGGCCTAGTTCAGAGGTTTCTGATCAGCACTTTGATTGTGTGCCTATCGAAGATCATGTCACACGGGTGTCAAGTGAATTTAATCGGTCATTTGCATATTCCTTGCCAAACAGCTGATGACAGAAGTGATATTGTTTCCCGGAGAAGAGTGAATCAATTGACTCATGCTTTTTTGTTTGAGTTGATTTCCCTTTCACACAGTCTTATAGAATATAATAATATTAGATGTAGTTTTTAAATTATCTGAAAGGAGAAGATTAACATGATCCGATTGTGCGAATGTACAAAGGTTTTTTGTAGTGATTGATATTCCATTGTGTTTTTATCATTATTCATAAGATCATGTTCATGTACCTGTGTGACAGTATGCATTGTTTTTGTGGATACTGGCTCACATGTTTGTAGTGTTCAGTTAGAAGGATGTATAAGTTAGTCGCTTTTGGAATTGAAATAGCCACTGTTAACTGTTTTCAATCAATCTTATGAAGAATTCAAATGGTTGTGCTTGATATTGCCATGAAGAAGTCCACTCTAAAGATATCTTTAAGCCAGGTTGAGTTGTTATTAGTGCTAGAATACTTTGTTGTAAGGTGACTATGAAGTTCTACATGTTAATTAATGTAACTCTGAGCTCTAATTTGGCATTGTTTTTTTCTCTTTTATTTATAGGATTATTTAAACAGACCATCCCTTAAAAGACAGTTTACATCAAGTGTTTGGGTTTCAATAGGAGAGTCTTTGGACAAGATAAGCAATGATGATTCAACAGGAAATTTTGACAATGAATGGATCAACCTGTATAAAAACAAAGTTGTAGAGCATAAGATGTCACACCGATACAGGGATTCACAGACTCAGCCATCATCCCTTCCTAGGAGGTATAATTCTTTACCAAAGAGTTATTCCTCTCAGAATGCAACTAACAGTAGAGATTCATCGCATTCAACAAGATACAGGTCAATTTCTTCATCTTCTACAGCAACAAGCAGTACACCTGCTACACAGTCCTCAAGATATGGAAGTTTACAGACATATGGCACATCAACCCAGTCTTCACTTACCAGTGACCTGAAAAAAACACCTTCTCGCAGATCAACAATTAGTACACTTTCTAGCAGGCCTGTTGGTGTTAAGAGCATTCCAAGAAAAAATTCATACCCTTCATCGCATTCTTCAAGTTTTCGAGATTCAACCCTGTCATACACAGCTAGGCAGTTATCAAATAGAACACGCAGAGGTTCGGGGAGTTTATCTCGTGACTCAAGCTGGGAACCTGGTGAGCTGCCCATCAGGCAGCGATCAAGTATTACGTTAAGGGAGACACAGCCGGTTTGGGGACCAGATGAGTCCCCCACAAGACAATACTCAAGTAGTTCTTTGCGGGATTCTCCCTTTTCTTTAGCAACAAAAAGAACTCATTCTTTGCGTCAGGATTCTGGTGAAACTGAAACTCATTTAACTTCTCGTAGAAAAACAAGTCCAGTTGAATCAACTGGTTTGTCGAGGTCTGTTTCTCCCCAAACTACGGCCCATAGTGATGGTGAATCGCAGACAACATCTTCACATCTTGAACTTAGTCCAGGCGAAGTAACCTCAACTAGGCCTGTGTCACCCTCAAGCGTAAAATACCAAGGGAGTGAATCGAAAGAAGAACCAAAATCCCCTAAGTCACCTGTTGTTTTGTATGCGGGTAGCATTCAACGAACAGAATCACCAAGTTCTATAAGTGAAAGTGCTTCACTGAGAAGCTCTCAGAATGGGGGCAGTGGTAGCCAAGCTATTGTTTGTGATGATGATAATGAACTGGAATCTTCTGCAGCGAGAGATATTTCGCTTTTGAGTAGACAGATAGCTAGTGTTTATGAAGGGTCACTCACCAGAAGTGATTCAAACAGAGGATCTCGTCCTCTGAAGAAGCAGAAGGCTGTGAGTGGTGATGACGAAAAAGCAACTGAACAAAAGAAAAATCTGGGAACAGGAGTGCTTACAGAAAAGGTGACAGAAAATAATGAGAGAACCTCTGAGGGAAAAGGTTTAGCGGCAGATGGAAAGAACATATTGAAAAAAGAACATAAAAGAAGCCCTAGTATTGAATCTGCAACAGCTAAAGATGAAAACAAAAAACCCAGGAGGAAATTGTCAGGAGTTTTCTCTCGCAAAAAGTCATCTGATTCAGAAGGGGACGAAGAGAGAATACAGCGCAAAAGTTTTTTCCCTCGTAAAAGTTCTAAAGAATCTGATAAAGAAGTAACAGGTAGAAGGGGTTCTTCATCATCAGCGCATTCTGGATCTCCACCTGTTACACCTCCAAAAAGAAAGATTTCTGGCCCAAGTAAATTTTTCTCTTATTCCAGTGACTCTAAGACAACTCCAGAGGTGCCTAAGAAATTTTCTGTGCCTGGAAAGTTTTTCAAAGGCAAAGACTCAAGTGGTGGTGAATCAAGTGACTTGGAATCAGATTCCTCAAAGTCACGATCACGTATGAAAAGACGTGTGTCATTACCAGGTGTATTAGGTCGTGCAAGAAGTTCTAGTGCCGAGAGAACTGGTAGCAAATCACCTAACCCCCAACCATCGATAGATCCAGCTCTTCTTAATAGGCGCAGGAGCAATTTTAAGAAAGCTCAGTCATTTGATGTGCAGAGTGACACATCAAAGAATTCAATGTTGAATAAGTTGAAATTCTGGGATCATACTAAGAAGGAAAAATTATCAGATTCAAGGACGTCAGCATCACCAGAGGAGGGCAGATCAGCATCAAATTCTCCTATACCAGTTCATAATAATTCTGTATCATCCACTGTGGAAAAGAAAGTAGAAGACAAGACATCACGGTTAAGGAGAAATAGGGATAGAACAGTTAAGCAGACATCTTCACTGGAGAAAGAAACTGCTTTGGCTGTTAAATCCGAGGTAACAGGTTTATCTAGAGACCAAAATTTAGAATTTTCCCAGAAGGAAATGCATTCTTCTAAGGGTGATGACAGTAGTAAGGTAAATGGTAAAGAAGCTAAAGTTCAGTATGTTGGCCAGGTTAACATGCCCTCACCATCTGAGCAGCGTGCTAGAAAACGTGCCCAATACAAGGTTAACTCTGGAAAAGATAGTAATAGTACAGTCACACCATTAGAGAATTTAACAGGTGCTCAAGTTTCCGATGTAAAAACAGTCGAAAAGAAGACAGCAGAGTCCAATGATAGTTCAACTAGGGACACTGTATCAAAGTTAAGAGAACGAAGAAGGAAGAGGCGTGAGGAGAGGGAGCGTTTTTTTGCTAGTATGGGATCTTCATCGAAGGACACAGGCAAACCACAGGACTCCCAGCAAAATGGTCATGTGCAGAGTGATCCTACAAATACTAATGACTCAGTGAAATACACAGTTGAATCAAAGCAAGATCACATTGATGCTGGAAAGAAGCCACAAGGGGATAGTGTTAAAAGGGTAGAACTAACTCCAAAACTTAGTGCTATTGGGAAAAGGTCAACATTTGATGATGTTGTGCAAAAAGAAGCCAAGAGTAAAGGTGGAAGACCACGATATCAAACAATAGCCTCTTCAGTTCATGCAGATATAATTGCTGATCTCATTCGCGAGAAAGGGTTAAAGTCAACAACAACTAATGAAGTCAAAATTCCTTCAGTGTCAGAGCTTAGAGAAAGGTTCCTTATATCTAAGGATGATGGTAAGATCTCTCCAACCCGGCTTATACTGAAACTTGATGAAAGGCCAAACAGCATATCTGGGGAGGTCTTGTCTCCCACAGAGATGAAAAAATTTGATGACATTACTTTCTCCTTGGCCAGAAAAGTTTCTTCTGGTGACATCAAGACAAAGCGGTTCTCCGGCAGCAGTGACGATTCATTGGCGAGACTCGACACCCCTTGGAAATCCATTTCAAAGGATAGTAAAACAATCCCTCCTTCTTCCCCTGAAGTTAGACGTTCTTCTAAAGGAGACAAGAAAATAGAGAATGTTCCAAAGCCAAAGGAGGAACGCAAAGAGGAACAGGTTGTGACTGGAGAAAGTGACACTTTAAAGAGGAAAGCTGGTGGTAAGAAAAAAAGAAAGATCTCAATATTTGGAGCTGATCGAGAAAAAGACAAGGAACCAAAATCTCCTGAGGAGGAGGTGGAATCATCACAGCATGGCGCAGTCTCTGCGGCAATCAAAGCCATGTTTACGCGAAAAATATCCTCATCTGACAAGTCAAAGGTACCAGGGAGGCAACGAATTAAGTGGACGCCAGACTCTTCAGTGAACAACAAGATATTAGACACTTCAAGTGATAGAGAAAGAAAGGCATCTGCTCCTGAAGAAATTGTAAGCAAGTCACCAGAAATTGTCTTAAGCCATCCTGTGAAAGAGAACAAAGGTTTAAAAGAGCATGTGAATGTTGACAACAAGGCAAAAATAACTAGTGAGACACATCCTTCCCAGAAAGAGAGAAGAGAGTCAACAGATCAGGTAAAGACTGAGATCACACAGGAAGTGAAGAATGTGGATAACGCAAAAGACATTGAATTGCATCCTGTTTCAGGCATTGAGGAGAAACCTAAGGAAAGGAAATCCCTGAAGAAACGTAAGTTATTCTAACTAATTTAGTGAAATTAAATTTAATTAATGGAATAAAATTATAACAAGGTTGTTGGTTAATGTCTTAAGAGTGATCATTCAAGTGAAAGCTATTGATGAGTGATTCCTGTGCAGGTACCCTTGTAGAATCAGACACTATGTAGAATCTATGCAAATGCTATGTCACAAAGCTGTTAATGAGTCATACATTGCTTTGACCAGATCCTGTGTTGTTTCTATGCCAGGACTACATGTATTTTTTGTATCGAAAATGCTATGTTTTCGCTAGTCAAATGGAACTTACTTACATGTAAAAGCTATGCAGTTTTTAAAAGAAGGAATTAAAGGAAGAAATGACATGGTTTCCACAAAACCTATATACCTACAATTTACTTATCTTTTGGAAAGAGATTTTAGACCTCATAGTCAACGTTATAGAAAAATCGTAGAAAATAAATAACCTTCACATAGGACTGAAATAGAGTTTACATAGTAACATGGAACAGGGAACAGTTTATTAAATAGCTTTTGAATAGGGTTTGCTTAGAATTTAAATAGCCTGGGAATAGAGAAAACATAATTATGATGAGCATAGTCTTTCTTAAAGCTGACATATACTTTGCATTACATTAAAGTAGGGAAAATGCAGAACAAAATAGTCTTTGCATAGGTTTGAAATAGGATTTTAATAACATTGGAGTAGGTAAAACAGATCACATACACGGCTTTTAACTATAGTTCAAATAGAATTTGCATAGAGTTGACATAGTCTTTTATGTATGCAGGTATCAATTTGCTTAAGCAAATGTAGGTTTAAAAATACGCCGGTAATAATCACCAGAATAGAAAAAATATTATAAACATGACATAGAATGCCTTGAACATTGGTAAGAAACAGGTTTTGAAACCAAAAAATGAAAAACTATGCAACACAAATACAGTACTTTCATGTAGCAGTTTCAGAGAATCGAAAGCTCAAGTTAAAGTTTGCTTAATTTGCTCATTGTCTTGACTCTTGGCTGATGTCATGCTCATCAGTGCCATACAGTTTGCTTGTGACTGCAGTGAATAAGTATCTGCAAACAGAAAAGTTGAGATTTTAAGGTAAATAAATGCAAAAACAACTGAAACAACTGAAATGAATAATCAAATGGTGACCGCTCCAACTTGTTCAGATACGCGAAAAAGGGAGAAAACACAAGCAAATCGAAACTTAAATTGAGAAAAACATCACTTACTGATGTTACGAATACTTATTGTTGAACCTGGCAGGAAAAAGTCTTTAAATTGAAGTAACAAGAAGCGTCTTCTTTTAAACNTCGTAACTATTCAGTATTCGGTGAGTCACATTTTGGCTTAAGAAACTCCGAGGAAACCTTAGAGTTTTCCTTCTAATCAACGTTTGGTGAGTAGAAATTTATTTCACTTTATTTGTTGAACTTGCACCAGATGTAACAGGGGAAGACAGAGGAAAGTGAATATATAGCTTTAGGATCGACTCAGCTGAGCGTTTCGCGTTTTCATTTATGTACTGCAATACGCAATTTCGCACAAAAACCCAATCTACATTTAGATGAAAGAGGTAGATTCATCACTCTCTTCAAAATAGCTCATGCACGTTTAACGTGCCTATGTTTGGCCTTGAAAGTGTCCGTGTGGAATCAGATAATGTTCACACCTTTTTATTGGTTGAAAAAGCCCCCGTAACGATAAAACGCAAAATACCCATGTGTTGAACTCACTGGCTTCCCTGGGAACTAGTGGAAACAAAATGGCAGACAAACATCAAGGACTGCAGCTAGCGTTTCACAGTTTTGACCAGTTTTATTCAGGAGTCGTCCACTATCAAGAAGAAGGATAGAAGCTTATATAGAAGGAGAAAAGGATTTCAAGTGAAGCAACACTAGGGAAAAGCTAGAAAGGAAAGTTAAGGCAGGAATGATGAATGCAGAGATTGCGTAACAAAAAATTTATAGTATATGATTTTTAAGCTTTTTAGTTTCAAACACTGCTTTTTACATTGGATGTATGCTTTTTGTAAGTGCTATTTAACCTGTACCATCAACATGCCCAGTATTTTAAAAGCTATGTTGGAATATCACATAGGAAACGCATAGACTACATTATTTCATATGAGTGACAAAGGAAAAAATATGTTTATGTAAAAGCTATGTAGCCTTTATGTCATGATAAAACTAAAATTAAAATGTTACACAGTAAAAACATAGGCTGCAAATATGTTTCATTCACATAGCATAGAATATACATAGCACTGTGTAAAACCTAAGAATATTGTTGGAAATAAAAGTGAACATTGAGATGCTTTGTAAAAGCTTTTTTACTCTGATGCTAAGTGGATACATAGGATGCAAATCAGAAGGAAAAGCATAACTTTCTATTTCATTGTAAATACATAGCCATGTCAAGACTATGAAAGGATTTTGAATAGTATTTGCATAGGTGTTAAAAGCTATGTATTTCTCATAGCCTAAACATAGTTTCAACATAGATTTTTCATACTTTGGACTATGTTATGTGGTATGTTACATAGTTAATACATAGGCAATAATGAACATAACACAGCTGAAACATAGTCCAACATAGTAAATAAATAGCATGAGCATAAGTTTTGCATATGTCTGGTTCTACGAGGGTACTTTGTATTATGATGCACAATGCAATGTGGTTCTAATGTTTATGTATTATTAAAAGAGGGAATTCTGTTGTGCTCCCATTGAAGTGAAAGCTACTTTGCAGTTTGTAGGTACTTAAAAGTGGTTCTGTTTATTATACGGTATAATGCAAGGTTGTTGTTATGTTATGGCCTCTGGATGCATTAATCATATTGTGTGGAAATAAAGCTCCTGAGCAGTACATAAACATGGGGTCCATAGTATTGTTTGGTTTGGTGCACAAGGTGTTTCTAACTTTTGGATCTGTGTATAAAAACCATTATTACATAATGACCATCCAAGTGAAAGCTACTAAGCAGTTTTATTACATGTACAAATGATATACTTTTTTGTGATGGGGTTGTTACATGCATGTCATGTGGAGTGTTACTTATGCTCAGTTAGCCTCCCACACAAGCATTTTCAGGGGAGCTCGTATTTCATGCCTCCCCACAAGTGCCTGCTCAACTGAGAACAACATGCTGTCTGGGAGGCTAATGTTTAGTTTGTCCTCAAGTAATGTTCTTGAATGACTTTGTGTTTGCCCTTGTGTACATTATATTTTATTACTAAGTACAGGTTTAGTTGGAGGAAAGAGGTTTCTTGGCCTGAACTTTCTGCTAGGTTCTGTTTAAGGTCAATAACTAATCTTTTTGTTTTGTTTAGAATCAGTTGGAGTTAAATAACAGATAATAGGTTATTATTCTGTTTAAACTGTTTTATTTCCTTGCGTTGTTTGTTTTAGAAAACAAAAACTGCAGATAAAAACTTCCAGAAAGGAAGAGCAAGGACAAGCAAAATGGAAACAAAAATTTTAACCCAGGCTGATTCTAAATTTCCCTTGTCTGCTAGGGCTAGGAGACAGCGAAAAATGAAAATCACTCAAGGTTAAATCAAAATTAACCTGAAATCAAATTTGACCTGTAACATATACATGTACCTACAAAACAAGACTGTTAGCCTAAACAGTCCATTTTGCTTGTCTTGCCTCCTGCAGTCAGCTCTTATTTTTTGAAATGCTTCTTGAATAATAGAGAGATTTAGAGTCACCTGACCAAGTTTTAACTTTACTTGCCTTAACCTGTTCTTTACTTCCAAAATAATTAGTTGTTCTACTGTATTTTCATCCATAAAAACTGTTTTAGGCAGTTTGTATCTGCAGCATCATTTTGCTCTTTCGTGAAATTGTCAACTTGGATCAGCTGCCATTTACCATTTGCCCTATAATGTCACTCTAAATCGTCTGTAACATTTTAATACTTGAAAGTCCTATTTACACTGTAGGGTGTTTATTCAAACTAAACTCATCAAGATAGTTTTTGTTTTTTTGTTTTAAATCAAGTGTACTGGCTGGAACTTTTCTGTTTTGACAACATAGTCAGTTTCCTTTTCATAGCTGATCTGTTTACATTGGCCACAAAGATAATGTGTTTGTTTTTGTGTGTGTGTGAGTTTCATGGACCCAGTTTAGAAGGTAAAGACAAACATTGTCAAGATAGCAGCATTGATAAGTTCCCTTATGCAAACAAAGTACTTTAGCATGCAGATCAACTTTGCATTTCTCTTTCTATGGAAACACAGTTGTTATGTTAAATATTGTAGTGACTGGATTTTAACCAAGGCTGTTACTCTTGTAAGTTCGTTTTTTGTTTTCTTAAAATCAAGTGCTATTTATTGCATGCTGAACTGAAAATTAGAGTAATGTATAGTGAAATTTATCTCTCTTAATCTCCCTTGTGACCTTAGGTGTCCCTAAAATGTTCTGTCATTAGAAACCGATAACTTTGCTTTTCACCTTCATGTCTGGTTTACTTTCTGGCACTTCCAATCAGCTTTTGTCCTATAAAAAGCCTAATTCATGTTGCAAACTTGACAAGGAAATTGAAAATTCATAATTTCGTTTGTGCCACAAATTACAGTAAATTTGCTATAATGGTATCATTATTTTTGTTTTTGTCACAGTTACCAGTAGGTTTTTTGTGTGGTCCTAAAATGTCTCCTATTACTGTTCACATCCCATGCACTGGTAAAACCATTATAATAATAATTATTCATGTACTATCTTATATACTAATGCATTGTACGACTGTAATAGTCCACTAACTAGTGTCTTCAATAACATTTTCTATGGTAGATCTTGGTAATATAAACACCTTTCCTTCAAAAATACCTTTACACTATTAATATTTAATATCTTTATCAAACAATTAAGGCGATATTTTGCATTTATTTTGATATTCAAAAGTCTTGCACTTTAATAAATGTGTCCTTTCCTTGCTATGAATACAGAATATTAAAATCTTTGGGTCAGTTTTGATGTGTTTGTTTATGATTTTTTACTCTGTTCATAATACCGTGATTCTTACTGTTACACTGTACTTTTATAGATCTTCTAAAGTTATCACCCTCTACATGTAGTTTTTATAGTCTTAGGTTAATTTGTACAGTAAAATCACTTCAGGGTATTTACTAAAAGGTAGACATTAGGTATGTGTGTTTTAAGCCAATCAGACAGTTTCTTAGGAGTTTTTTAAATCCCATTACAACTACCTACATTGTGAATTTTTAACTTTACTGTATGTGAAAAATAAACCCCATTAGAGTGCAGCCACAAAGACATCATGCTTTGATTTTTAGAATGACTATGTTCACATCAAGTGAGAGAGAACGAAAAATCCGTGCATGCTAACTTTGAATTTGCCATTTTTAGCTTTTTATTATACAAACTGTGTTTAACTGTGTAATAATCTATTGATATCTGTATCGTGTGTGGTGCTGGTATGGGGTTTTCCAAGGCACACTAGTTTACATGTGCATGTATGCTAGTGGGTGGAATGTCACAAGAGAACTGTGAATTCCTTTGTAAAGGTAACTTAGTAAAGGTATAGTGCTTAATGGTGATTGGAACTAATAACAACACTACAAAGTTGCATCCAGAGCCATAATTATACATATTTCCTGTCTGCTTGAAATTCCTCTCTGGAATTTTTAAGGGTCGAGGTATTCATGTTTAAACCAAGTGTCAGCATCAAGTTTGTGAGCAAATTATTGTTGTCATTAACAGCTTCCAAGAACAAGAAAAGGACTTTTAAATCAACGATCAAACCATTTGGTGGCATGATGAAAACCAAGTCTGAATCCAATCTAATGCAGCGGTTTGATTTGATTGCTGTGGATATTCCTATTGATGGCGAGCCAGAACCTGAGAAGAAGAAAATGGATAACGACATACAGCTGATCTCAAATGAAACAGATGAAAAAAATAAGGTGGAAGATTTATCAAGTGCAAGCCAGAGGGAAAGACAGCCAGGTGTGTTTGAAGAAGGCTTAAAGGAATTTTACAACAAGAAAGTGGAGGAGAACAAAAGTGCCACAACCTATTCCCCAGAAATTACGTTGGAGGATCTGGACATAATTTCAGGGCAAACTACCCAGTGAGTGTTGTTTGTATCGATGCAGTGGAAATTGATGTCACTTTCATGCTATGCAGCTTTGCACTCACATAGATATAAGAAGTTACTTGTGTCTTATTAGAGAGTGTAAGCAACAATGACGGCAACGGCGGCAAGAACAGCAAAAAAGCAATAGGTTTAGATTAGCAAAACAACAACTTTGCACGTGCATCTTGCTTTTTTGTACATTTCTTTGCTGTCGTTGCACAACTACAATGTGAAACTTCCCACAGCTGTAGTTTCACAGTTTATGGAGGACATGAACAATTCTTTTCCTTTTTTTTAAACTTAGATACAGTACATTAGAATCAACACCAGAAAGATCCTTCAACACTTGACAAATTGAATGAAACAGAATAAGTCAGAGTGATGAAGTTTGGAAAAGCGCAAATTAAATTTTCAATTGGCGTTTTTGCTACTGTTCCCATGGTGGTTGCTTAAGCTCCCCATTTAGTGGGAACCAAGCCCTTGAAAAAAGGTCTGTTCATGGCCATAGTGTACATGTATCTGAGCTGTCCACTACTAGCTTGGATTTATCTCTTAGTATTTAGTGCTCTTGATTCAAGCCATATTTTGTTTTGCAGACAACTGAATTCCTTGGCAGGGGACAAAATGAAGGTCAGGCCTAAAAGACACCATAAAACAGCAACAAACCCAATAAAGAACTTGCAGCAAAGAACTGATGTTCGAACTGACACAGAGGTACATTTTACAGTCCTGTTTATTTTAAAATCATGTTTAGGTATTTCAGTCCATTAATGGTAAACTGATGGTAAAATTTCACACATTCATGTAAATAACACAATAAAAAATTGATCATTTTAGGCATCCTGAATTTCACAGGTTTAGAGCTCTGGGCTCCCTTTAATTTTTCTTAGAGCACGTCTAGCCTTGAATGTGGTAGCGTGGCTAAAAGTGCCTTAATTTTATTTTCTTATGCTATTAACCCTTGCACATCTACAGCGAGTTATGATAAGTCATTCTAACTTAACTGTTGCTTTCATAAACAAATTTCTATAATAATTGTGACCATTCCAGGGCTCGAAATGTAAAAAAACAGTGCAGTTCATAAACAAATTTCTATAATAATTGTGACCATTCCAGGGCTCGAAATGTAAACAAACAGTGCAGTCGCATTTTGTGACTACTGCTGTAGATATGAAAACTAGGTCACAAAAATGCAATTTTTTAATTTTTGTTTGACTAATACATTACATTTAAGGTAGTGGAATGGTTAATTTTGAATTTTTTGTAACACTACAGTTAGTAAGTAATAATTATAGTTGTTGTGATTGACAGGTTGAGAGACCAAGAATAGAGAAAAAACAAGTCACCAGTGAACATCCTGTCATCAAAAGAAAGAAAAAGAAATATAAAGATCCAGATAACTTGTGTAAGAATATGAGAACCAACCACAGATGTTGAGTTCTTTTTTTATTGTCTTTTCTGCTACCTGTAGTCGTCAGAGAGATTTTGTGTGGGGATAAAACAAAGCCCTTACAGTGTGCTTGTAAAAGTGATTTGAAGTGCTTGTTCTCCAACAATATTTTTGTAATCAAACACTTTATTATGCTTGTAATAAAATTTGGCCTAAGAGGGAAGGTTCTCATTTAAAGGACAGCCATTGGGAGTACCAATTGTTATTGTTATTGTTATTGTTATTATTATTAATTTTTTTTAAGCAAAGTGAATTTTTATTTTGGCAGAAAATACAATGCACTCCTGTTTTTGCATATTGGTGAAATCAAAGATTACAGAAATTTAAAATAATGGGAGTAGAGTGC